CACACACACACACACACACACACACACACACACACACACACACACACACACACACACACACACAGAGTGTCTGCCTTCTGTCCTCCAGCTAGCAGATTCACTAACTGACTGAGCCAGAAAGCCTCCACTTCCTGCTTTATAAACTGATGACAGACCAATTTCCTTCCATCATCTGGTCAGGTGAGTTTCTGGGGAACGTGGTCGAGATGAGGGTGTGCTCTAAAAAAACTCATATGTCCAATCCAGACAATACCATCCAATGTCAGGATTTTCCTTCCACCTCACCTAGCTACAGCTAACTCTCACCTAGCCCTCCTTCCCAGATTTATGACTCATCCTTCTAGAGCCTCAACAGAATGATACTTAGAAATTAGACTAACAGGGTTGAAAGATGCTTTGATGAAAATAAAAGCATCAGAATATATGACCTATTAACATGCCTCAAAGCTGTAAAAGCACAATCACTTTTTGCCTACGGACACCAGGGTTTGCCCTTGATTTCACAGACCTCTCCCCCAGCTCATCAAGTCCTTCCCTGTCTGATTTCTCCGGCTTTCCTTCAGTTGCTTGATTTGCTTTCTCATCGAGTGGGGCTCCTTTCCTGTGAGGCTCAGTATTTAGTCTGTCTTACCAAGGCCAAACATGCCAGCTGCCCATGTGACTCCTCCAATGATGTGCACCCAGCATCTCTCAGACATCACAGGACAGAGAAAGACACACTCGTATATAATGGCTTTTCTTCAGCCCGATGCCTATCTGTGCCACTGTACCTTCTTCCTTGCAGATCTTTGCTGGTTCCTGCTGTTTCCTGCAGCATGTTCTGTACAGGACAGGGAACCACAGAGCAGCAGTGTCAATGAGACAGAGAGTAAGACATGGAAAAGCAAATATGATTTAAGACAGTTTTTAGGGGGTTTGATTTGTCGTCACTATATCCCCTTTTAATGGGATTAAGCAACAGCAGAACATTTCAAAGTACATTTGCAGATGAATAAAGATTTTAGAGCCTTGGCATTTATGATGGGGTGCAAAAACAACCTAGTCTAAGGTTACAGTTATTATTATTTAAATAAAGATGGCCACGAGGAATTCTAAAAGAGCGTCAGCTTTAATTACACTGTTCAGTCAGGAAGAAATCATTGCAGTGCATTTCTCATTTCCCTGACAGCCAGCAGGGAGGTGTGACACAGATTCTGTATTGTGGAATGCAGTCATAATGCAGAGGAACCATAATTTATTTAAAAACACCAAACCAGTTTTGGAATTCAAATGAACCACAAAGAAATGAATATTTCTGGGTTCTGGTGTTAGAAAGCACCTTCTAAAATAACATAAATGTGGTGTTCAAGTCGGATGCTTTCTCCTTCCAAATCCTTGGCATTCTAAATAAAGATGGCTTAATTTTGTGCTGCCAGTTCTCCCATTTAGATGTACCTGAGAAAAATCACCAACAAGTGAACTGCTGTTCTGGAAACTACTGATATTTAACCTGCTTGTTCTTGGTAAGGATCACAGCAACCTGGAGCTCGTACCAGAGGTTCCAATCCTCATGTCTGCTAGGTTTTGTTCCAGCCCAACTCTCATTTACACAATTCAACACCTCACTGGCTTAATTACAGAATTAATTTGAACTGCTGGGGTTTTAAATAAGTAGCTTTTGTAAGATTTCGTAAGTAACTTTGACATTAACATAAGTAAAATTCCCATATGTTGAACAGAAAAAAAATGAAAATATTCCGATAGGGCTGCTTCTTAGTTCAATTAAGTGATTTGATTCTTTTGATTAAGTGTTTAATTGTGATTAAGTGATTTGATTCTTTGAATAAGTGATGAAGTGACTTAAAGAACATCAATCAAGTAATTAAGCAGGGGTGAAATGAAAGCCAGCAGGAGTGTGAGCCTCCAGGACATGGACTGGGAGCCCCTGGCACAGAGCACAAGGTGGGACTGAACCCAGCATGGGACACCGTCCCAATGCAGGGCAGACAATGTAGAGGCACTGGTTACGTAGCAAGCGGGTCTTTGGACAGAAGGTGTCCCAGTCCAGAATCATACCAGCGATCTGTGGGTAAGCAATGCTTACAGCCACGAAACTGACCCACCCCAAAGAAAAAACCAAAATGATAAACAAGCCTACACAAATTAACATTCTAATGAAAAAGAAGGGGAAGGATTCCAGTGCAGCACACTTGCACACCTGCAGTGTCTGCTGCCATCAGGCAACAGACAGAAATGATGTTGCCCAGACCTAGCATTAAATTCCTGAACAAGAGAAGAAAAAAAACACCCTGAATTAAAGCGATTTATTTTGCAACATCCTCTTGGGAAAGGAGTCAGGGCACATGGTAGACAAGAACAACACTTTGCTCTGCCTTGACCAGGCATGACAAGACCGTCTCTTACAAGAGAGCCCTTCTGTGTTAGAGTCGAGAAGAGTGAAGAGGAGCTGATTAGAGTCCAATTAAGAATAGCAGCTCATTACAGCACACTTGCCATGGTCTTGTGAATATAGACTGATTAAATTCTGTTCTACCAACGCCGACCTTCGTTGCCCTCTCCCTCTTCGGCTCGCGAGCCTCTCGGCCCTGAGAGGGAGGGAGGGAGCAGAGAGGAGGGCCGCGACAGGGCAGCTGGCAGGCAGGCCCATTAATATTCCAGTCCCCAGCCGACACATCAGAGCCAAGCAGGAGCTCGTTAACCTGCAGTCAGTGGTCCATAAGCTGCTGGTCTGCCTCTGAGCAGCCATCTCCTCGGCAGGCAATGGGACTCAGATGGCCTTACCCATCAGTCTAAACGTTTTTACAATGGGCCATGCTTTTGGTTTGCTGGGGCAGGAAGGAGTGGAGCTTCCTAAATGAGAAGGTATAAGAAGAGGAGCAGGTGGGACAAGAAGACACCCACAGCCAGTCCAGATTGGTGGATATGTAATTACAAACTGCTGCTCACCCATTCCCCCTCATGTTGCCCCCTTTAGAACATCCCCTCGGCCTGTTGTCAAGGTTCGCTCTCAGATGGGTTTGTGTTCTTTACGGCACCATCCCTGTTCCCCACCGGATTCAGCCCCTGTCCAGGACCTGGCAGTGTCCTGGAAAGGCTACAGTCGTTGGCCGACTCAGAAAAATCATGCTTCATACTCGCTGTTAGTAAATTCACTTGTCAGGGGATTCTGCCCGAGAGCCACAGAAGGTATTTCTTCTCACTCATAAATCATAGTCAGGGTCCAGACTGTCTCTGGAAAAAGTTCCCCGGCGCGTGCATTTTTCTCCCAGCATTCCTGACAGTAAGTAGCTAACTAGCACACGACCGAGCCGAGCTATGGAGAATTGTGGTTACTGTGCATGATAACTACAGTTATCGTTTTCTTTTGTAATATGTTTCGGCACTAATTGCCCATGGTAGCCAATTAAAGCAGGCTAATGATGCAGATGCAGTTGAGAGGCGCACTGACATGTCTGAATGCCAGCCAAGCAGAGAACACATAGACAGCATGTTGTTTTCGGGTTATGGACTGGTTCTGCACCCTGGAGTAGAGAGGCTTACATTCTCAGAGGCAGGCATTGTGCAGTAATAAGTGTTTGGACAAGGAAGCCCGAGTCCAGCACATTTCATAGGTCTCTTAAAATCAGCAGCACCACAGGAGCTGGGAACATAACCTGCTCCAAATAATCCACAAACTAGCTCAATTAGGCCATTATGAGACGAAGGCAAACTTAAATGAAAACCTGCAAGTACTGTGGTCCTGCTGTGCTGGATGTCCTGCAGGTCCGGTGGTCCTGTTGGGTTGGACCTCCTGCAGGTA